AAAAAAGAACAGAAAAAAATCTTAGAAAGGTCAAATTGAATTCGGTTCGTTTCAGTTTCACAAAACCTTACATTTTGAGGACCCACTGCCCAGTGTGGGACCCACAGCCTGCACCTGAGTGTTTGCTAATGGATGAATGATTTACCTCTCCTTTCTAAGGCTCCCACCCCCGCCTATTCACTCCGGATCTCTCTGCCTCCTTCACTCACCGCACTACACACTGAGCAGCTGAGTGCCAAGCTGTCTGCCAGTGTCCAGGCCCTGGCCTGTCCCCAGGGAGCTGCCCACCTAGGAAATGGTCAATTCTGTGTCTTGGGACAACCTCACCTGGAAGAACGGTCTGGGAAGCAAGAGGGTGGGTGGGTGAAGCAGGAGCCTGCCTGGGGTGCGCGTGTAGTGTGGGGGAGGGAACTGTAGAGGATCCAAGAAGAAGGTGGCCTGGGTGGCGTGGAAGCATGTGCTGGGTTGCAGGAATGGGAAGAACATCCTAAAGAATGTGCACAGCCCTCAGGGATCTAGGAGCTCTGAGTAAAGTCGGGGAGAGGAGGGGTGAGATTTGGGGAATGGCTGTGGACAGAGACTAGCTTTAGGCGATTGTTGTAAGAGCTGAGGGACAAGATGAAGGTGAATTGGATGGGGTGACATCATCAGGAGAGGAGGAGGTGGCCATTGCAGGGGTGGTTAGGGGAAAAAATAATGGGGCTTGGTGACAGATTGGAGGTCTCAGTATTGAGATGATGAATGCTTTCCTAAACCAGGTGCTTCTCTCCTAGGTGCTTTCTTCACCTGGATACTGCTCCTCTGACTCAAGTGCTCTCCCTGCAGATAACCTTTAGCCCTAGCTGTTCTCCAGGTACTTCCTTAACCTAGGTGTCCTCTCTAGACACCTGCTCCCCCACGCCCTTTCGGGCATCGCTCCGCCAGACACTCTTCTGATGTAGGCGCTCCTCCCCTGGGTATTTGCAAGCCCAGGTGACCTGGGCTCCAGAGAAGCTTCCTTTAATTCTCCACCAGGTACTCTCCAGCCCTGGTGACTCTCACCCAAGTCATTTCCTGATCCAGGTGATCAGCACTTGGCTACTTTCAGGAGTGGAGGAAAAGGGACAAGTGGTGTGCCTGAAGGGCTGAGGATAGAGGTGGGGTACAGGGGATCCGGCTCAGGAGCAGAGAGGCCAGGGCTGCCCTGGCTGCTTCTGAGGCTTCCTGTCCTGGATGGGGATGGGCACGGTTCTCCACTGGTAGCCTGCACTTGGCTTGTTAACTGGGAGCCATTGCTGCTGTCCATCCTCCTGGACCAGGACCTGCTTCTACCCCCAGCCTCAGCAGAGCCAGCTGGGCTCCAGTCTGATCCAGAGACCTGAATTCAAGACCTGGAATTGTGGCTGAGTGATTCCACCTTTCTGGGCCTAAGAGTCCCCATTTATGGAGCAGGGATGATGTTCATAACCACAGTGCAAGGCTCGTGGCTCATTGCCCAGGACCTGACTCCTCAAGCAGTTCCCGCTTCTACCCCTTTTTCAGCCACTTCCAAGACCGAGCCCTACAGTGTCTCCTTACAAATAGCCTGTTGCCACGTGCTGTTTGTTTCTCTCCTGTGGACAACAGGTCATGGCCAGTTGTCTGTGCAGTGGCCTGACATGACAGGGACAGTGGCCTGAATGTGCATGTGGCTGTCCCTCACACCCACCTGTGTGTGTTCCAGGACTCTGTGCCAAGGCTGCCTGGCATCTGGGGGTCTCCTTGGAGGCCCAGCTCTTCTGGGAGAGGCCAAAGCTCACCAGTGTCTTCCAGCCCCACCATGAGTGCGGCAAACAACAGTGAGTGGCGATGGGAGGAAAACCGGGGAGGGTGTGAGTTTCCCTTACCTGCTGGGGTTGGGGAAAAGCCCTGTTCCCTCGCCTCTTGATTTTCCCTGGAGTCCCACCTGGAGACATATTAACAAAGCTGTCCTTTCTTTGCAGCCACCGTGGGGCCCTCGGAGTTCCCCACAGCATCAGCCGTGTCCCCTGGACCAGTCACTGGGACCCGGGCATGGCCTGTGCTGGTAGGGGTCGTGGTGGGGGCTGTGGTGCTCTCTCTCCTCATTGCACTTGCTGCTAAATGCCACCTCTGCCGCAAATACTACGCCAGCTACCGGCACCGCCAGCTGCCCAGGCCAGGGAAGGGCTTCCGCCAGGAGGTGTGTGAAGATGACGACGATGGCTTCATTGAGGACAATTACATTCAGCCTGGCGGGCTAGGGACAGGGAGTAGCAGAGAACACTTCTCCCTCTGAGCCCTGATCTTTGGACACCCCTGCCCCCATTGCCTGATGGCTAAGGATGGTGGCTACTACGTGGGAACCACGAGCCCCAGGGACAGAGGTGGCTGGGATTTAAGGACTGACCAAGGCTGGAGCAATTCTCCTTGGATACTAGCCACCGAAGTGACAGTGACCCTCTCCTGCTCCGTGATACCCAACGGCTGCTGGCAGTTCCCAGGATAAAGCCTCCTCAGAGTCTACCATGGCCATCAGGCCTGCCCTGCTCTTCATTTCCTTTCTTGCCTTTCCCCACTTTACTTCCCACTTAATTGTTTTTCCTTCCCCTCCTATCCCTACCTATCTGTCTCTTCAGGTACCTTTGTCCCGCCCCTCCCCCTTCCTTCGCCATATCCTCTGTGAGTCCCTCTCCTTTCCGACTGTCTTTTCAGATGTGGCCAGGTGCTCATGTTTTAGGAGCAAACCAGCACACCACGTTTCTTACTGAATTGTTTTCCTGTCAATGAAGTAGATATCTAAAGGGTTATATTTTTCACAGGTCTTAATAAATCAGTTTTCATTTTAAATATAGTCACTCATTTTGCTTTCCTGAACTGACACTTGTGAATTAAAATTGCCTCCCAACTTGCATTTACCCAGGGAGCTCTGGGGCAGCAGCTGTGTCTCATTCTGTCCTCAGGGTCTTGCATTTGTCAGATTTGTTGAATTACTGTGGTTAAGACGTGAGGGTTAAGAGGTGGGAGTAGGTCACGTGTGGAAGACTTTATCAATCTCGAAGGGCCTCCCTGCTGGTGCAGTGGATTGTCTCAGCACTATGAAACTGTGGGCAGCCACTGCAATACCATGAGTTGATCCCCGGCCAGTGTGGTGACCCATGTGGCACAGCAGACCTCTCCTGTCTTACCCGCTGCTCCCCTCAGCAGTGTATTTCAGTCTATCTGCCTATTCTGTTCTCCACTGTCTCTGATGAATCCTCTCCTCCACCTACACACACACCTCTGACCTACACTCCAGCTCTTGTATGCATAAAATAAGTAAGAAAAAAAAAATCTTGAAGAGAAGGGTAGAACCATAGTTGTAGAGACTGGAACAAGGAGGCGGTGTTAGGGTGAGACCGGTTGCATCAGGTTCTGGGCTAATGTCATTTCCTTCAATGTCATTTCATTATAACATCGACGAACACAAAAATGTATCTTGGACAATGGTGGACCAAACCTTTTTCGAGGGCCTAGTTTTGTTAGGCATCATGTCATTGCTTAGCGTTCAGTTTCCAGGAGCCCACTGCAAGCCAGAGGACTCACACAGGCAGGCAACAGATCTGCTTGGACCAGTTATCTGCCACTGGCCCAACTGCTGTGACAGGAGCCAGATCCTGTAGTGTGCAGATTTGGGGAGCTCACCGGTTTGTTCCACACTTTTTCCCAGACAAGGGGAAGTTGTCGTGAACCTGGCGGTACCTCCTGTGTGTGCAGTGGAAGCAGTGTTGGCTCCTGGAAGGAGCCGGCTGAGGCGAGTGACGGGATGACCAATGTAGGGATCTCAAGGAACTCAAGGGTGGCTGCAGTGTAGAGTTTTAGGGGTGCCCTGCAGTAATGAGGCATCTATCCTGATGGATGCTGTGCAGGGATGGGTTGGAGGGAAGAGCTGATATAAGTTTGGCTCAGAGAACAGAGTCCGGAACTATGCCGGAGGCAGATCTGCTGGGACTTGCTAACTGCTTGGATGTGGGAACAGGAGGGAGTTGGCTGAGCTGCTCTGGCTTTTGGCTTGATGGCTGAGCACACTGAGGAGGGATAGGATTTGGGGGATGCAGGATTCCATGTCAGATGCAGATCATCAGAGGGAGATGCCCAGGGCCACCAGGCAACCTGCTGTTGATTTCTCTACTAACTGCAGCCTGTGAAGTGGCAGGTGCAGTGGAGGGAGACGGGTGGATTCATCCAGGGAGGGGCTTTTGCTGGGAGGGTGGGCCCAAGGGCAGGGGCTAAAGTATTCAGGACTTTGTCAAGGAGTGGGTGGAATGGTGGGTCTCTGAATCTTAACCAGGGGCGGGAAGACAGGAGGGGGAGGGAAGAGAGGCAGAGGGACCCAGGGCTTCGGGCTGCAAAGTGGACCAAGATGAGGCTGAGTAAGCTGCTTTAAGCGAACAAGCCAGCTTGTTTCCTGATTGGGGAAGCACCGTCACAGCCCTGCCTGTGTGTCCACCGGCTTTACCATCTGCCACTTTGGAGCTGGCTGTGTAGATGCATTTCCATTGCCCTTTGGAGTAGGGGGCATGAGCCACATTCTTCACTGGGCACCATTCCCAGGAGAGCCTGACCCTGGCCTTTTCTGCACTGCTGCTCACCCAAACCTGTATGCTGGAAAACGCCCTTCCCCTTTTTCCAGTTCCATGTTTCTGTTTTTTTGTTTAGTGTCTTAAAGAAATATTCTGAGTCTGAGTTGAAAGGAAATGAGATTTCTCTCCAGATTACGGGAAAAGTGTTCTATGGCCCTCTGCTGGCCCAGGAGTCCAGGAAGAGGAACCAGGAAGAGTGAGAATTTCTGGGCCAGATAGGGCAGGGCCTCAAGAAGGCAAGATTCAGGCCAAATGTGGATTGTGGCCTGACTCCCCTACCCTTTCCATTTGTAGCTGGGTCACCCCATGGTACGTGTACACACACACGCACACACACCTGATCCTGTAAGCCAAGTCCTTCATCCATCCAAACACCACCTGATGTGTGCCAGGTCCATGCTAGGAACAAGGGCTACATAGATGAGCAAGACTCAACCCTCCCAGGAGGAGCTCACCACTTCAGAAGACAGACACACAGAGAAGGAACTGAGGTGTCCAGTCTAAGGTAGGGGCGTAGAGAAGGGTAGGTTACTAGTTTCGAGGCAGAGTGCTGGGGAGACTCCCAAGGAGTCTGGCTTCTTAGGGTACTGGGTCACAGGCAAGGAGCAGGGCACTTAGAGAGGCGAGATAGCATGGGAGGTGGTGCCAGTGGTTCAGGGGACTGGGGGGGGGGCTGGCTTAGGAAGCGCTCTGGCTTTTGAAGGGAGAGGGAGGCCAAATTTTGTTAGTCTTCAAGAGGAGGCCAGGGAAAATTTTTAGGCGGAATTTACATATTCATTTTAGGACAGTTGTTCTGGCCAAGGGTGGAGGGGGCTGTGGATTTAAGAGGAAAAAAGAGCAAAGTTAGGGAGAGTCACAGCGAGGCTGTGTCTGATTCAGACAAAGATGAAGCGGGCTCTGTGTAAATGGAGCCTGTGGAGGCATGATCACCAGGCAAGGATTTATGAGGAAAGTCACGGCACTGGTGTGTTTACTGGACATGGGGTGAAGGGAGGGAGGATGCCATCTGGAGCCACTCTGGGCTCCATCCCTGGATGCCAGGTGAATGTGAGACAGAGGAGCTAGTTCAAGATGGAGAGGAGAAAAAAAAAAACCTGAAAATAAAAAAGAACAACAGAAAAAGAAGATGGAGAGGAGAGCAGCTCCATTCGAGTGGGTGAAGCCTGGAGTGTCTGTGGAACACCCAGTAGTGCTCCTGGACGTGCCTGTCATCTGCTCTTGATTCTCCCTCCCTGGGTGGACCCCGCCTGGGTGGGTGACACACTTCCCCTCCTTGGCAAGCTCAGCATTTTCTCTAGGAGGCCTCCTGGCCTGCACAGCTAAGAGCAATTTCCTCTTGCCAGGGCCTCTGTGGCTCTAGTTTAATGCTTTTGAGAAGCCACATCTGCTTCCCCGTCTCCCTTGGGATCCCCCTTGGGGCTTCATTAACCTGCAACCTGCAAAGCAGGAAGTGCAGAATCTGTGCCCCCTCAAGCTCTTCTGTGGGATTTTAGGGTTGCCTCCCAGGAAGGGGAGATCTCCAAGAAGGAAGTGACTTCTACAGCCCAAGGGGTTACAAATTCCCCTCCCATGCCTGGGAGCCCTGAGCTGGGCCAGCTGGTGCAGCAACTGCACAAACCAGAATGTTCTGCTTCTGAGGTGGGGTCAGGAGCTGCAGCCTCCACAGAAACCAGGTGATGAACCCCAATACTTAAGGCCTCAGGCTCCCCACCCTCTCCAGGGGACTGGACCTTCTGAACACTGAGCATCCCTTCACCCTCACTCCCCTCCATCTTAGCACCAAGAGGAGAAGCCCCAGGTCTGACTGAAGAGGCCTTCACAGAACCTTTGACCAGCCTGAGGGGGACACCGTGTCCCCCCTAAGGAGTGGGGAGGGGCGGGAAGGGAGTTTAGGGGAGGGGGAGATAGAGACCACGACCGTAGTAGCGAGCACTACTTTAATTGCAGACGCGCTCCTTCCTTCCACACGGCAGTCCTCACAACGAGTCCCGGAACCGTGACCATCACCCTCAAGAAATGGAAGCTCAGAGAGGTTTAGTCACTTGCCTGAGGCCCCCAGTGGAAGTGGTGAGTGGAAGAGGGGGGATTCCAATCCTGGCCAGTCCACTCCAGGACCCATGTCCTTTCCACTTTGCCACCACTTTCTCTCCTCGGGGTGCTGGCGCAGTCTGCAGGTGGGCAACAGTCACTTTTCTGTGGAAATTCTTGACAGGCAGGACTGGGCAGGGTTGGTTTTCGGGGTGCTGGGAACAGGGTCCAAAGATCTTCAGGGGTCCCAGACACTTCTCTGCCCAGAGACTCCAGACAGGTCAACACTGACAGTTGTGGGACACACACTCACCCTCCTGAGGTGCGCATGTGTGGGTACATTAGGGTCTTGGTCACCTCACACAGTCCACAGGCCGGCGACAGTCCCGGGACAGGCGCACGGTCCCTGCTCACTCTCCCCTCACCCTGTCTCCCACGTGCCCACAGGGGCCTGGCCAGGTCTGCAGCTCCGAGCAGGTCGTGGGCGAGGGCTCCGGCTGGGTCAGATGAGGCTGGCGATGCTGGAAGTGGTCTCAGGACGCTGGCCGGCGGACAACTGTCCCGAGATGCTGAAGACGCTGCTGTTGCCCCTGGGGTCACCGTGGGCGGTGGGGCCGGGGACACAGAGAGGGGGGCAGTGTCCACTCATGCCCACCTGGTACAGCAGTAAGCCCAGCAGTAAGAGGGAGCCTGAAGCAGCCAGGGCGATGCCCACACACAGCATGGTGGCCAGCGGCCGGGTGGGAGCAGGGGCTGCGGCCAGCCCGGCCAGCGTCAGGCCCGTGACCAGCAGCACGAGGCCGCTGAGTAGCACCACCAGGGCGTCGGCGCCTCCGCCACTGCGCAGCAGGGCCACGTGGTGGGGCTGGCGGATGCAGTTCATGTCCTGCACGGCTGAGCTCATCAGCTGCTTCACCAGGACCAGCAGGGCCAGAAGGCAGAGCACGGTGCCCACCGCCAGCCGCCACTCACCTGAGCGGCTGCTGGTGGAGGAGAGCAGCGCCACGCCGCCCGCCCCGCAGCCCGCCACGAGGCCCACGGCCATGGCGAAGCAGAGCGCCGAGCGCCCTGGCTGCTGGGACCACCACAGCTCCACCTGCTCCGCCAGCACTTCCGGGGGCAGCCCCGGGCGCAGGGGGCCCTGAGCTTCTCCTCCGGGCATGGCTGGGGCTGGCGGGTCCGGGCAGAGGCAGAGGACAATGTCAGGGGTTAGGGGTGCAGCTCATGGCTTACAGCCCCCACCACCTGCTTGGCAGGTAGAGGCCCTGAGTCCTGTTCCTCCCACAGTCCAGGGGCTGGTCACCATCACCTGCATGGAGAGAGTCAGCTCGTTACCTCCCAGCCCACCTGCCCTCTGGGATCTCCTGGGAGCCGGGGCATGACCCTTAGGAACCTTCCCCCACGAAGGCCTCCTTCCCAGCATGGCCCTTGGGCATGCCCCTCAGTGACCCCAGGAGAGTTCAAGCCACTTAGACACCCCCCCACCCCTCCAGGAAGCCCTCTTGTCCAGCCCCTGACCTCTCTGGCTCTGGCTCTCTCGGTTGCCCGTCCCATCCTGGCTGGCCGAGGGAGCTGGTGCCACGGCAGAAGATGGAGAAAGAGTCAGAGATAAAGCCTCATTCAAGATCCACTCACATGGCCTCAGCTGTCACCGCTGGCTCCTGGGGGGAGGGGAAGGCAGAGGGCGGGAACTTATGAGTTAACCCTTCCAGAACCAGCAGCCTGACCCAGCATGTCCTTCTCTGTGGTTTAGGATGAGACCTCTAACAGCCAACTGCCCTAATAGTCTATCCAATCTCACAAGCAGGGCTGCTGGTTCCCAAACTCCTCTCTCGGACCAGATCTCCCTTCCTTAAGCCAGTGGTCATTTGATGTCCATTATCGTCTTTCCACAATAGGCCCCAACCAGACTCCTCGCTTTGGGCCCCAAGCCCATTCCTCCTCTTGTGGCCCTCCCTTCCTCCTTGACCCCACATTAACGTCCATGGGGAGGTGGCCTCTAAATAATTCTCACCCCAGGTCTCTGCTCTTTCCCACTGCTCCTGCCTCTTCACCTCCCTGCCCTATCTCCTCGCTAGCCTTCTGGTCTCCCCCACTCTCTCCTATACCCCTCACCCCCAGTTATAGTCCTTAGCACCCACGGGCACTTGGGCCAGAGCCTCACGGTGTGTACTCATTTAACATGTCTTTCAGAGCCTGTCCACCCTGGGCAGCTGGGCGCCGTGCCCTCAAGGAGCCTGTTTGCCACAGGGTCCTTTCTGTGCCTGTTGCTGGCTGTGGGTTTGTCAGACGGGGGCTCTGCGGGAGGACCAGGGAAGCTCTTACCTCTTAGCGCCTGGTCTCCTTATCTGAAAAGGCAGAACAATAACCAATAACATTTCTCTTGGGGTGGGGGGTGACATCTGACATCTGTGTGTCAGAATTCCAATAGGAATTCTGGGGCCCCCATAGATGCCCAAAGCATGCTTTTGAATAAAAGAACACTGCCCTCCCTTCCAAACCAGGGTAGGGCTCCTGCTTTATTCATAGGGCGCCATTCCTGAGTCATCCAGGGGTATGACTACATGGCTCCAGATGGATTCCACCCCAGGTGAGGGCTCGGTCCTCACAGCTCCTTTGCAGGTGCTGTCCTGGACAGAGGACAACTTGGGAAGGGCAGGTGTAAATGCCCCCCGGGGAGATGGGGAGGGACTGTGACTTCACTGGGTGCTAAGTGCTTGCACAGGGGTGCTGGGAGAGTGGCCCTGGGCTGGGGGTGGGAGTGGAGGGTCTCAGGGTAACAGCCAGTGGGAGATGATAGGAGTGGGGTGGGGTGGGGTAGGGTGAGGGGATGTGGGGCACTCACAAGAAGCCTGGAAGTGCTGGATCCGTTCTGAGCAAACTGGGCTGGTGGGTGGGGCACTCCTGTTCGGTTTCCGGGGAGGTGCTTCACCTGCCTAACCTGCACCCAGGTGAGCCTGGAGCCGGTAGAGGAATCAACAGGTGTTTCTAAGGCAGGACTTGAACTGATTGGCTGACGCAGCACGGTTTCTTCTGCTGGGCTGAAGCATTCCTGGGAAGGGAGGGGCTTCTGTTAGCTGCAGTCCTAGCGCCAACACAATTCCAGATGGGGTGGCGGCAGGAATGTGATCTATCTGCCCCAGCGTCTGGGACCCCACCCCCTGGCTTTATCCCAAGACGCAAACCTAACCCCAACCCCAGCTGCAACTCAGACCCCAACTAGAACTTCCTGGCAGCTTCCTACCCCAACGCCTGAATCTCAAGTCCCAATCCCAGCCCCATTTCCAAATACATTTCCAGCCCCAGCTGCAAAACATAACCCCAAATCTGACTTGAAACTCCAACTCCAACGCCGCACCTCAATCCCAGCTGCAAATTATGGCACTAGGCCCAATACCTATTCTCTCACCCTTAGCATCAACCTTGCCTCCCATTTCTAAATCCAGTCCCCAAAGCTCAACTCCAATCCCTGCTCAGTCCCAGATTCCACCACCAGCGGCTAGTCAGCCCCAGCCCCAGCACCTCTACTCCTGGTGCTTTTCCCTGGGCTGGACACCCCACAAGTCCCTTGTTTCTTCTCAAGTGGCTGACCTTGGCAGTCCTGCCCCACAAGTCTGGCACCTGCTGGGGAGGCGGGATTTAATTGCACTGGGAGGAGGGGCAGAAGCACTTCAGATAGAAAACAGGATCTTTCTTGCCTAAATCACTGGCGGGATAAACACACTGTGCTAAATGCCACACTCTTTCATCTGTGCACACAGCCCCTGCTACCCCAGGTGTCACTTGTCACAGTCCCTGCCCAGCCTACATGGTCAGTTGTCTGTTCTGCCCTTCACTCTGCCCTTCTGGATAGTTTTTGAAGTCAGAATTCTTACTTCTGGGTTATTTACCACTCCCTAGTCTCTGTCTCGTCAATTTACTCAACGGAGATGTCACCTCCTCCAGGAAGCCCTCCTAGTCACCAGACTGGTTCAGGTGTCTCCTTGATGCATCCGTGAGCTTTGCATTTTCCCCACAACTGCTTTTCCTGCGTGTGCTGTCAGTGCCCTTATTTGCTCACTGGTTATCCACTGCAGACGTGTGGACCCCCATTTTGCTAACCATCATGGCCTCAGCAGCTAGCATGTGAAGTAGTGAGTATCTGTTGAGTGAATGCGTAAGCTGGCCGGTGCTGGGGTTTTGAGCAGGGTGCATAGAAAAAGTAGCTGGAAAGACAGGTTTGGCGCGGGGTCACAGGCCCTGGAACGCCAGCCACGAGGCATAGGGCCCCATCAGGTGCCAAAGGGAGGTTCCAAAGTACAACAAGGACACAATGGGGCTCTGCTTCCAGTGGCCAAGTCTGACGCCACACGCCGCGTGCTGGATGGGCCAAGGGGGCTGGTAGGAGGTTGTGGGCAGTCACCCATGTCCTGGCTTCAGTGCTGTCTAATGCCTTCGCTCTCCTTCTGATGTGTATGAAGTGGATAGGGAAACACATTCGAAGTAATCTTTCCATTAGCAGCTCACAACCTGACTGTGCTTCTCTTTATGGCGTGGACATGAGCGAAAGCTCGGCCAAACCCCAGGGCAGTACTTTTCAATGGAAATGACCATGAACCAGATACGTAATTTAATACTTTCTAGTAGCCACTTTCAAAAAAGTACAAAGAAACAGGTGAAATCAATACACTAAACTTTTTATACAGCCTCAAATATTTTCATTTCAATTAATACACATGCTATTAATCAGTAATTAAGTGACTATGCAAATTACTCAGGAGGTATTTTATCTTGAAAGTACTTCAAGTACTTTCTCTTTACAGTGCATCTCAGTTCAGAGAAGCCACACTTCAAATGCTCAGTTGCTACGGTGGCTGGTAGCTCCCTTTCCAGACAGGACAGCTCTGGGTGATTCTTCCCTTCCAGTAAGACTGGTCTCATGAATCTCCAGGGCAACCCTGTGGGTGTCTCCTGCCCTGGGGGGCGCAGGGGAGCAGAGAAGCTGAGATGGCTGGCTTACTGTGTAGTCCTCTTACACACACACTGATATTTATTTTATGTTCTGGTCCCAACCAGGAGGGGTCAGTCCCAGCCAGACTCATGGCCTGGCTGTCCCAGATAAGTCTGGGATAAGAGAATTCTGGAGATTTTCCCTATGATTCCCCTGGAGGATATGAAGGAAACTTTTGAGGTGGTAGAGGAACAAAGTTTAACAAATCAGCAGTTTAAACACTGACTGTGTGAGACTTTGTTCTCATTGTTTGTCTTATCAAATAACTCCCAGTTCAGGTGGATAGGCAGGCTCCCTGCAGGGCTGCTGAACCTTTTCCGCAATCACAGGTTGCTGGGGCAGCTCAGCTCAGAGGTAATGAAAGCGAGGACAGGTGACGGCTGGAGCCATAGCGCGGAGCATCTCCAGCACACATTTGCTGTCTCCTTCTGCACCTGGCACTGGGCTCCAATGGGAAACCAAAGAAGTCCAGCCCCTGTCCTCCTGCAGGGCAGCGTGGGAGAATGCTGGGCACAGGTAACAGGTCTTGGGCGATGAAGGCACCCCGCTCCCCGCCCCAAGCATGCTCCCTGACTGACCCCAGAGAGAGAGCCTCTGGAGTAACCACCTTCACTGCAGGGATGAGCCCCCGCAGCCAGGATTAGATTTTGTGACCCACTCCCATGGGTATCGTTGATTGGCCAGAGGTGAACTCAAGCTCGCCCCAAATAATCCCTCTCGGCAATTTAAAATCAGACTAGAAATTCTATTTCAGACGTGGGACTTTGAATGGGATGCTAAGGTACCTGTATGAACAATGTGAAGAGGAACAGTAAGTGCAAGTCCTGTACACAACTGGTCGTTGTAGGGTCCTTTCCGCTTCATGGGCACAACAGTGCTTCTTTCTTGTAAATCTGCTCCCGCCGCCAGCCTGGGGAGGTCTGACTGCATCTGAGGCATGCTCAAAGCAGAAACAGGCTCCAGTGGTCTGGGGTGTTTACTCCAGTCAGCTCATGGACAAGAAGCCATGCCTCATCCTGAGATGTCTTCTCCCTCACTTCTCACTCCACAGCCAGAATAATGGCTGTCGGAGTTCTTCCTGGGCTTGCAGATTCGCTGAGGCCCACCAGGTCTTTGGACACTCCCGGGGAGCAGCAGGTTGGCAAGGCTGGTCATGCTTTGTGTAAGAAGCACAGGGAAAAACAGATGCTGGTTTTAGAAAGCCCTGTCAGGCAGGATCTTTGATGCTGGGAGAAAACATGGTGAAGAGGCTCAGCTGGGCTGCTCATAGTGTCGGCCAAGGCAATGCCAAGGCTCTGAAAGAATGGCAAGGGAGTCAGTGATGTTTGGGGCCCAGAAAGAGGGCAGCCGAAACTCACCAGCTGTCCCACCAGAATTGAATGAGTCCCTATATATACAGTCCATTGCTAAATGGACTGTGTGTGGAAGAACAAGAGTGAAGCCATTGCCATACGCAGTCACCTGGTCACCTGCAGGTCTCTGAGACTGCCGAGGGGAAGGTGATTACCAGGCCCACCATATCAATGAGGGGGTCAACTGGCATCCTGTGAAACAGGAGGTGGAACCGTGGGCTGTGTGCCCGTAACCCACAGGAGAGACAACATGGAAGGAGGTTTCAGAAACAGCAGCCACCCAACCAATGCACAACCAACCTCTGCGACACAGAGGCCAGCATGGAAGGTGAGCAAGACTGTGCGTCTGGCCCCAGAGCTGTGGCAAGCTGCTCTGCTACCCCTGTGAACTGCTCGCTCAGGGGCCAGGCTCTGCAGGGCCCATCCTCGGGAGCTGGACAGCAGCTGTCACCAGTGCAGGGGATCTTATCTCAGTGGTTGCCTGCTCCTTTAACTTCTGGTTTAGACTCTCTGGGCATCACCCCTGCAACCTCCACCACCTGGCTTGTGCCTCTCCAGTGCAGGGCTGAGGACTATCACCGGCATGACTGGGTGCCAGTTACCTTACTCCTCCTTGGACCTGGTCTCATCACCTGTAACCTAAGGCCTGTGTTGCAGGTGAAATGTGATATGCTGATTTGAAGTCATTTTTGAGTTGAAAAATCTGACTGGAATGTTGCTACATCCTAATTACAATGAACATCCTGCTGGCCCAAGAAGAGCCCCAATTTCTGTACATTTCAACTTCCCAGACCCTACTTCCTCTTTGGCTAACTCCCACCCAGCTCTTAAGCAGGATTCACTTCTCTCATCTGCATTGCCACATCTTGGTCTAAGCCAGAGTGTTTTCTTAACTATCCCCCGTCTCCACTATTGGGGTTCTCTGTCGACTCTCCATCTGGATACCCAAGTGCACTTTAAAAACAGACACACCTTGAGCGTCTTCCACCTCGTGCGAGAGCAGACATCAAACGACCACATGGATGTGTGGCGGGGAGGGCCATGAAGGAAATCAGCGTGTACGGCACGGGTTATTTAGACTGGGTGGGGAGCGGGGCAGAGAGGAGTCAGGGGCCTTCTTGCTTCAGAAGGGGCATTTCAACCAAGATCTGAAGGCTGAGTAGATTTCACCAGGTTAGGTGCAATATTATTCTCAGACAGAGGGGCATACCCTGGAGCAGGGACGAAATTGGCCTTTGACAGGAGCTGAAAAGGCAGTCCTGCCGAGTGTGGCCCTGACAGCGTAATTCTTGCCTCTGGGCAGTCCTGTCTCCTTAGAGTGCCTTTACCCTCTGGCTCTGCTCACCTCCCCGAACTAATTTCAAGGCAGTTTCTTCTGCAGAGCTGAAGCCACAAGGCTAGGTTGGAACAGAGGAATCTGAGTCCCAGAACAGCCCATCTCCCACAGGACAATGTCCCGAGCTTGGTGGTTGTGGCCAGATCTCTCAGGGGGCCTGAATTTCTCCCTGTTCTCTGGGCCTGGCTTGCTAGTGGGCAGAGGACATGCTGGAGGGCAGGCTGGCCGGGAAGGGGTAGGCTGGCTGCTCTGGCAGGGTGCAGCTGCTGGGAAGAGTGAGTCCCATGCAGACCTACCGTGGCGGCTTCGGCATGCACCTTCCCTCTGCTTCCTGCAGCTTTTAAGGAGCCTTGCCAATCAGGACAGCTCTCGGAGAGACTGACCCAAGAGTGGTGGCCAAAGCTGGGGCAAGGCAACTTGGGAGATGCCTTGAGAGGCCAGGTTTAAGGCAGCCTGTAGGACCAGCAGGAACTGGGGGCGTGACTATGTAGGCATCAGAGGATGTCTGGTCTCTGCAGGTGGGAAGGACTGGGATGTCTGGGTTCTGTTCCTTGCTCTTTCGTGAAGAAAAAACAAAAACAAAACAAAAACAAAAACCAAAACCCGTTCCGGGCCCTCTCTGATGGCGCAGTGGGTTAAAGCACTGCGCTATGAAGCTAAAGCCACTTCCACATGAGTTCAATCCCCGCCTGCCCCGGAGGTGACCCACATGGTGTGGCAGACCCCTCCTGACCCGTCCTCTGCTCCCCTCAGCAGTGTACTTTGACGATCTGCCTGTTCTGCTCCCCACTCTGTCTCTGGTGAATCCTCTCACCGCCCCTGCACCTCTGGCCTGTACCAAATAAATAAATCTTTAAAAAAAAAACAAAAACCTTTCCTGGTGTGTGTGGCCAGCTCACCCAGTATGGGGCTAGTGGAAGAGGTGACCCCCACCCAGAAATTGAGGCGTGGGGCAAGGCCCTGCTGAACACAGATGTCAAGTCAGGACCATTTGGGGTTTGGAGATGCAAGGGCAGAGCCCTCTTTACAGTTCTAACGACATGGCAGCACAGAGCAGAAGATTTGGGGAGGTTCTGGCACCTTTGCCGTGTTCATTATTTTACTCTCCTGTTTTTCCTCATCTTTACACAGAAGTAAAACATCCTCATTGTTTCGCAAAGGAGGAGAAAATGCAGGAGGCTTTGTCTGCTCCTACCTTGGCTGGGGGACGAGGCAGCCTGGCACATGTGAGGTGGCAAGGCCTTGAGACAGGAGGGAGCTGACAGCCCAAGCCGAGGGCCACAGAGAAAAGGGGAGCGGCGGGGGCTGGTGTCAAGGCTCACGTGAGCTCAGGGACAGGCAGCAGTGGCTCGTGAGGAGCCAGCGCCCCCAGTCCGCAGCACCCTCTCTTTCCCTCACCTGCTCCTGAGCTCCCCGACTAAGCACAGCCGGACCCTCCATGGGCACACGCCTTTATTCCGACCCCTGTCCCAAGTCCCCCAGATCAGGAGCGCGGGCGTGGTCAGTGCCTTAGGGACCCTGGGCTGGAGTCCCCCGAGTTCCTTCTGGCTGGCCGGAGCTGGGCTCTGCCTTAGGTCTCGCAGTCTGTGTTGGAGTTGAAGAGGGCGGGAAGCCGGATGCCGGTTAGGGGCTGAAACCCCGGGACCTGCTCTTGCTCTTGGATTTGGTCTCGGAGGCGCTGGATTTCTAAGCGCTGCATTTCAATGATTCTCCCCGTTTCTTCTTGCTCATTCAGTCTCTTGGGAGACGCGTGGGTCATGTCCTCGCCGGGCGCTGTAAGGGACAGAGCGGGACTAAGGTGGGCCTGCTACTGCAAGGCTGACGGCGTCTTTGAAACTCACCCCCCTTGCCTTCCTCCCTCCTGCAAGCATTTACTGAGCATCTACTATGAGGTCGACACTAGGCCCCAGACACGAGGGATACGCGAGAAGCACATTCATTGCCAGCAACGATGGAGAAATAAAAAGACACATGGGCGGTGGGTGGCTGCAGCGCCTGGCCTCGGTTCAGCCCCTCTCCTGAGCTCCCGCCTGCCTGCCCGGGCCCCTCCATGGAGGCTGTGCTTTCTCTCTTTCCCCACACCCAGAGTCGGGCGCATTCTGTTTGCTGACCTTGATGGGCTTCCGAGCAGCCAGTGCCCTCCTCATGTGAAGTCCTTGCTCCTGGAACAGATCCTGTCCATCCCTCCAGGGGCCACTCACTCATGTCCCTGGAGGACATGCCCCCAGTCCTGCCATCCTCCTGTCTCAGGGGCTGCCATTATCCCGGGCAAGGCTGGTGTCCCAGAGGGCCCAGGGTCATCCTGTCCCTGGCCTCTCAAGGCTGACCTCCCAGCATGCATGTCCCTGGCCTCCATACTGTGCCTCTGGGACTCCTGGCCACGTGTCCCCTCCCTGTCACACCCAGGGGCCTGTTTCCATTGGCTCTCTCACCCCAGCCCCCATTCTCCCAGCGCGACCTTTCTTAGAGCCTTACTCTCAGAGTCAGTTCTTTGACCGAATTTAGACTTCTTTTTCATGGAGAACTCCATGTTCACTCACAGTGTTGTGGAAACAAGCTCCAGAACGCCTTTCATTTTGCAAAACAGAAACTATATACCCATCAAACAATCACTTTCCACCCTCCCCTCACAACCCTGGCGACCACTGTCTCTAGGAATTTTACGATCACACAGCCCTTTACCTATTGTACCTGGCTTGTTTCACTTAACATAACTAGTCTTCAAGTTTCATCTCTGCTGTATCATGTGTCAGAAGTTCCTTCCTTTTTAAAGGCTGCATAATATTTCACCACCCACATGCACACCTCCCTACACACCACACTTTGTTTCTCTATTCATCCATCACTGGACAGTTGAGTTGGCCCCACCTTTTGGCTACTGTGAACAACCTGGTAAGAAGGTGGGTGTACATCTACTTGTACTAACGTCCATCTACTGGGGACTCTGCTTTCAGTTCTTTCCAACTTCCTGAGGAGCCACCATCCAGTGTTCCCAGGGATGCATCATTTCACATTCTTAGGTCTCCCTCTGCTATTTCTCCAGACCCTTGTCAACACTTATTGTTATTTAAAAATTCTCATTTCCTAGTGGGTGTGAGCTGTCATTTTGTTGTGTTTTTGACTCCATTTCCCTAATGATCAGAGAAGCTAAGCGTCTTTTCATGTGTGTATTGGCTGTTTCTTTGGAGAAGGAATGTTTATTCAAGCCCTTTGCCAATGTTTAAATTGTTTTGTTTTGTTTTTCTGGTTGTTGAGTTGTAGGAGTTATTCACTTATCTGGATATTAACCTCCATCAGATACCTGCTTTGCAAAACATTTTTTCTCCATTTCATAGGTTGATTGGGTCCTTTGATGTTTAAGATTTTGATGTAGTTTATTTTTTCTTTTGCTGCAAAATATATGATTGCCAAACCATGCTCTCAGCTAATAGATGGTCTTGCCACCCTCTTCCCTAAGAAACCATGTCTCCCGCTCCTTCCCCACAGCCAAGCTTCTCTCCACGGGAAGGATTTCCGTTCTACCCAACTCATTCTCTGTACCTCTGGAGGAATAACCAGAAAAGGAGAGAAGTTGGAGGCCAAGGAAGGGGGCATTTCAAAGTTGAAGTAACTGTTAGCAATGGCCATAACCAGCTTTGCAGATTGGTCTGCCGGCCAGCATCAAAGGACTTGACTTATCCAGCCCTTCCCATGTGGCCATGCGCCTCGGCTCTTCTTGGCTTCAATTTCTAAGCTCTTGATCATTTAGTGTTTCTTCTTTTTTCTAGATCTTGGCTGTTCATCCTCTCTCTACTGCTGGTTGCCCCTGGTTAAGCTGTGGCCCTGGGGCCTTGTAGGGAGCAGCAGGCCTAGGGTGCTCCAGCCACATACAAGCTGACAGTAAGCTGGTCTACCTGCTTGGTTCATGCTGCCTACTTTCTGTTTACCTCTCCACCGCCTCTCTTCACTACTTCCTCCTTCCTGGTTACAGACGTCACTGGATCCGCTCTGTGCCCTCCCCACGGCCTTGACACACAGCTACTCACCCAAACACCCCCTCTCCCCTCCCCCCCCCGTGTTTGTGAGGCCACAGTCCTGAAGGTACCCCACTGGAGTGTATCTGGAAATATTCACACACTCGGGATTTTCCTTTCTCTGCCCTGACACTAGCAGGCCTGGCCACACCATCGTCCCTATGCCCCTGTGCTTCTCCAGGCTCTTGATACAGGTTGTAGCTTTAGGGGCTGCTGGACTACTGATCCCTGGATGAGGTCAACTGACCTCAGAGGTGTGCAGAGGGTCGGTCCACACAGGCAGACTTCCCCTAACATGCAAAGCGTGGGGAGATCAGTCCCTGTAGAGTTACAGGGCAGCTCAGAGGTAGCACAGAGCTGCCGGAGGTGGGGGGCGGGGGTGAGGGGGACTGGCCTCCAGGTCATCTCCAGAACAAACCTGACCCACTGAATGTTCCCAGGGGTGCGGCTCTACCTCCTGGGAGGCCAGCTTGCATAGAAGGGGACAGACATGTTGGGTCCAAGGGAGGAATGCTGTGTCTGACTCATTCCCTGGTCTGTGAGCATCTTGAGGGTGTGGGCCGTACTTTGTCTGACTTGTCCCTTTACCCCCGTTTCCTTCCCCCTTGATAGCTACTTGCCCACTGGTCAGAGTTGGCTTCTGTCTCCAGGCTGCTCCTTTGCTGTGTAAACTCTCCTGTCCTGCCTTGGCTGTGCAGTCAGTTTCTCTTTGCGGTCGCCCACCCCGACCCTCACCTTCCTCCTGGCCTCAGTCTCCTCTTTCCTTGATCTGCCCTGCACCCACCACCTTCAGGCCTGGGGAGTCTCCCCTGCTGCTCACTGTTTCCTTCTGTAGATTAAGTTCTGAATAAATGAAGTAGATAAGGAAGATTAAGTAGATAGGAAAAGTAAGTGACTACTGATACAGTTGGATCAGTAACTTCTGCTCTTTTAGTTGCATGTTATGCTTGTAAATATTCTATCCTTTGAAAAAACTTGGAGTTTTTCCCTTGACTGGCTTGAAAGATATATACTTCCTTCTTCCCACCCCTTTCCCTTTCTGCCCCTTTCCTTTCTTTCTCTACATCCTCACCAATACTTGCTATTTTTTTTTTCACAACAGTCATCATAATGTGTGTGAAGTGGTATCTCTCTGTGGTTTCAAGTTGCCTATTCTTCATGATTTCTACTTTAAGTAGCTTTTATCTACTTATTAGACATCTGCCTATGTTCTTTGGAGAAATAGCTTACATTCAAGTCCTTTGCCTTTATTTATTTTGGAGTTGTAGTTCTTTATATATTCCAGACATCAATCCTCTATCTGTCACGATTTGCAAGTATTTTTCTTCCATTTGGTAGCTACCTTCATTCTTGATAATATTCTTTGATGCACAAAAATTATTTCCTTTTGGTATCTTGTCTAAGAAATCACTGCCAAGCCTGATTTCTCAAAACTTCCCCCCTATATTTTCTTCTATGATTTTTAGCTCTTATATTTAGTTTTTTGATCCATTTTGAGATGATTTTCATATATAGTGCTAGGTAAAAGTCTTTTGCACGTAGATATCCAGTTTCCTAAGCACCAAATGTTGAAACAATGGTCCTTTCCCTATGGAAAATCATTCCCCTATATTGAAAATCATAGAATATGTGAGGTTTTATCTCTGGGCTCTAGTCTATTCCATTCATCTATATGTCTGTCTTTATATCAGCATCAGGATGTTTTGATTACTAACGCATTGCAGAAATTTTTGAAATCAGAGACTTCCAACTATATATATATATTTCAAGATAATTTTTGAAAAATTCAGAGTACCTTGAGGTTCCATATTAATTTTATGATACATTTTCTATTTCTGCAAAATACCATGGAACTTTTGATAGGGACTGCATTGAGCTGATAGATTGCTTTGGGTAGTATGATATCTTAACAAGACTGAGTCTTTCCGTCCATTAACAGAAATTGTTTTTTCACTTATTGGAGACTTTAATTTCTTTCAGCGATATTTTATAGTTTTCACAGTACAAGCCTTTGCTTTATTGGTTAAATTGAATCCTAAGTATTTGATTCTTTTTTGATGCTACTATAAGTGAAATTATTTTCTTAATGTCCCTTTCAGCAGATTCATTGTTAGCATATGAAAGTGCAACTGATGTTTTGTGTGCTGATTTTGCATTCTGCAGTTGGGAATTTTTGATCCCATTGTGTAAAATCTCTCCCCTTATTTTTGGAAGTTGGGAGAATTTTTTCCTTTGTACTCTGATGTTCTGAAATTTCATCATCTGATATGGGTCTCTTAACCACTGTACTAGACCTTAGGTGGCTCCAGCAGCTTAAATATTTTCCCTCTTACTTTCAACTCACTGTCACCCCAGTTCTAGAGAGCTCTACCTCTGCTAATTCCTGAGTTTTTTTTTTGAGTGTTCTGTGGTGTACTTGGGTCTATGGAATCATATCATTCATCACTCATCTATTCATCTTCCAGCCTTCAAAATTTTGTGTTTCTAGTTGCCTTTGTGTATAATTTGATTTTATGGCTTATTTAACCATTTTAGTAGGTTTTTAATTAGCCATATTTCATAAGAAATCCCAGTATGTTTTTAGTAACTGAAAAATAGGCAGCTAAGTCTGTCCCACTGGATCCACATGTCAGTTTCTCCCAAGATTTAGTATCAAAAAGATAGCACTATATCTCTATCGTTACACACCCCTAGTTATTTCCTCTTATATGTTCTAGGAATTATTTTGAAGCAAATCAAGCATATCATTTGTGTGATGAAATTTTACTTGAGGAAGATTTCACTTGCAATAGTTGAACACAGGCATTGCCAATGTCTTCAGAAAAAACAAACTTCTATTTTTCCATAAATGAGAACTATATTTGTTTCCTTTTTTGCCTTGATTATCAGAAATTCCGAGGAACTTTAGGATACAATTGCAATAACTAACTCATTTACGTTCCTCTCTCCTTTTAAGCAGCTTCTTGTCTTTCTTTTAAATTTTTATTTTAATTGTAAAGGGCCACAAATTTTTATTCACAACTCTAAAGTACAAAAAGCTCTAAAAATAAAAAGCATTTTTTGGTTTATGAGGGTTAGTGTGCATATTTATGTTTCACTGCAGAAACATAAATTTGGGGGCAGAGTCCCCCCAGGTACCTCCAAGGTGTTATATGATACAGTCTATGGCACGTTTTTTGTAAAATCTGAAAGATTCTGAAACCACAGGTAACCCCGAGTGTTCCAGCACTCGACAATCTGAATGTGCTAAGGCGCTCACAGGGCCTCTGGAGAGCAGGTAGGTGCCAAAAAGCCCCAGTTCAGGGGTGGATGCCCCTGATACAGGAGGACCCCCCAGGAGAGGCAGCGTCATGGCTAAAGGAGGCTACAGGAGCTGCCATCAGCCCATGACCCCAGTGCCCAGCTCCCGCGGTCACTGGTAACATTACCTGTCTCTAGAACATCCGGTGGCCGGATTTTTTTGGTTAGTTTCAGAGCTGCTTCAAGATCATAGACTTGGGAGCGGGTTAACTTCAGCTCCCTGCGGAGCTCATTAATTTCCTTGATCAGGGAAACATTTTCCTGTCAAAAAGAAGGATCAGAGTGAGCAGAGATGGATGAGTGGCCTTGGCCTTGGGCTGAGGGTGTGGGGCATGGGTGGGGTTGGCTCTTTACCCTGGCACCTCTACTGGGGCATGAGTCTTTGTCCTGGTGCTTGGGTCCTCTCAAGGACCAGCTAACTCACCTCCAGGTGGCTCTGGCAGCATAAGATACAGACCATGAGCACCAGTCCCATCCAGCTGGGCTCATTCCAACATCATCATCCACAGCATCAGTGCTTTTCTCAGCACTTTGTGTGAATTTAATGCATGGAGGTATCATTGTAACCCTGCGAGTAGATTCTATTACAATCTCAAATGTAAAGAAGAGGAACCTAAGGCACAGGGAATTTATGTAACCTGCCCCAGTAAAATTTATAGTCAGTGGCAGAGCCAGGGCTCTGTCCCAGACAGCCTAGCTCCAGAGCATGGAGCTCTACAATGCTGTGCATATCTTATTAATTTTTTTTCATATTCATTTGTTGAATTTACATGCATATT